TCACTGGGGCGTCCCTGCTCGGCACCTATCGAAACGAGGGGTGCGCCAATGAGGAAGCCACTACGATTGGGTTGCTCCAGCCAAACTGTCAGCGTCGACTGTGCGTTGGTGAGACTTATATGCGAATCGCTCTTGTGCGCTGTGACGACAGAGAAAAGTGAAAAATTCCCTACGTCCTCCACTGCGGATCTTAGCTTATTCACAGCCTATCACTTCTTCAACTTCAGAAACTACTAGCAAAATACTAGTACACGGGTACTCAAAACTCATACAAAAGAGAACCAACCTCCGTAGATCTTCCCAGGAACATTAAACCATGCCCAAGGTGATAGTAAAACCTGGAACATACACTTTATTTCTTCTGCAGATCAACTCAGGCTTAATCATATCTCTCCAATGGAGCAGTATCACGTGAAGTACAATTCAGATCGCAGGGCCATAAGGGGCGTTCCCAAGAGCGCACTTGCGAGTGCGACGGTGACTGCATCCCCCCTACACAAACTCCCCTCCTGTGCACACGTATCTAACTCTCTCCTGTCTGGGCCCTCGTAACCATCGCTGGGATCCCAGCTGCATGCGTGGAAAAAACGTTTTTGTTCTCCGATGTGGACTGTTCTGTGTATTGAAGGTGCACTTCACGAGTACCAGGTGGGCCGAGTCTCACAACCATCGTGCCCTCCTCACTGATGCACCCTCCTATCTACCAAATGGAGAGAGGATTGCACCAATGGGGGATACTCACTGATTGTGAATTTCCGACCATTGTCACGCCCTTCCAGTTGTCAAAGCAATCTGAATGAATATCATACTTTGCATCAGTGATTGTGTCTCCACCTAGTCGAAGTCCTTTCTTCATGTAGGCCACGCCCTGCTCCACGTTATCGTCGGCGACCTGGAGTGTGAATAGTAGGAATAATAGGCCTGGTTACTAGGCTGTGAACTATTGATTAATTCAGTGAGCACAATTGTTTAATAGATGGTTCTTTGGAGCCTGTAGTTTTGAGTTCAATTTCTGCTTCAACTTTGACATGAAGAAGTTGCAGGCTCCGTACCCTTCGTCGGGCGTACTCGTGAGACGGGGAGAATAAACAATCAGAATGGATTTTTCTCATAATTGGCATAACACGGCCCTCTCCTCAAATAGAATCCCCACTGTGTTTTACAAAACGGATGAGGGCCCTGTCCCCAGTCATGGTGGAATTGTGTTGTTTCGCTAATGAACTGCTAGCAACGTGCCAGCATGTGCACTGCAACACCCTTACGTCAATGGACCAACTGTGGCGACCCGCCTCTTAGCCCGGAGGAGCTACTACCTTCAAGCGAATCAATGTGGGTGGATAGAAAGCTGAGCTGGACTAGAGGAGCTTCTATCGACGAAAGTGCTCCATGACGCCTAGGGCAACATTGAAACCATCACAACTCCATTACAACAGAGCTCTTTAATGGAGCTCTTAGAGAGATGGGGGTTACTTCACTGTACAACTTTAGCTACGCTACTTTCATGGCGTTCCCGAATTTCCAAGGCTCGCACCCATATACTTGACATCTGCAGAATATATTCAGCATATCCCAGCATAATGTTTAACCGGGCTTACAACTACAGTGTAAAGTAATCAACCTTGCACTAGGTGAAGTGAAGTGAGTTCTCAGTTCTTCAGTTTTACTAATGGGTCATTTTACGAATATCTTTATGAGTATCGTCACACTGCTGCCAGCTGTCCAAAGAACTATCAATTATTGCAGTATTTGCATTTTTCAAGGTTTTCAACATTTACACTGCTTGTGAACTAATCAATCAATATAAAGTAATTGATCCGATTCAGCAACAAACCTTCAGAATGTATCCGTAATAGGCGAGTGCAACCCCGTTGTTGTGGTCACTCTCAATGATCTGAAAAAAAAGATTGCGCAGTCGCTTCTGAGTTATAATAGTTTTTTTTTTCATAGCACATGTAAAACGAGAAAGAGTGCGAGAAAAATAAGACTTCCCCTTTCACATCCTACCAACCATCTTCCTGAATTTTTCCAACATCCTACCATTTTCCCAGTGTTTCTGGAGTTTCTCGAAAATTCTCCTTCTTTTTCCCCAAATTTTGCTGTCGAACGAGAGGATGCCTTTTATAAAAGTATATACTTTTTATGGGTGAAAAGGGAAAAACCGCTAAAAGTCAAAAGTCTAGTTTTTTTGAAAACGCCTCATCCCCACTGGCCCTTGAAAAGGGCCGGTACTTTTGCTTTTCGGCACCTCTGCCGGAAAGCAAAGGCATTTTTGCTATTTTTGCTCGAAGGGCATCATAATGCCCTTTTGAGCAAAAAACTCGTCCCTAAGGGGACTCCATGCCGGTTTTTTTCGCGATTTTTCTCTCGTTTTTTCGCGATTTTTTCGCCTTTTTCGCTTTTGAAGGTACGGGGAATCTCGTCCACGTAGACGGATAAATTAGACCGAGAAAAATTTTTTCCAACGCCCGCCGCAAAATTGTCTAAAATGCAAATGCCCCTCCCCCACTCCCAGCATCGAGCAAATACGACTCCCCCTCCCCCCCCCCCCCCTTATAGCTTCCTGAAAAAAAGAAAACTACAACTATCAAAAAAATTTCTTAAAACCAAATGCGACCTCCCCCCTGTTGGTATTTCCCAACGACAATGTACCCTGTTTCCTGTTGCGTACTCCGAATAGGTATTACGGTATATGCGGACGGTGTGAGTTAAAGGCACAGTTCGCGACCGCAAATTGCGGGAAACGGAACTCAAATAGGCACAAAAAAGTGCTAAGTATCTGATTAGCGGAGAAAAGCAGCAGAAAAAGCAGTCCGAAATGTTATAGAGAAAGATAACATAGTGGCTACTAGCTAGTAGCTAGCAGCCGGTGAGGGTCGGCATGGGCCTAAGGGGTGTCCATGGGCCTAATTAGTCAGCTTCTAGCGGAGTTCTTGCCGTTTTTCACATTTTGAAAGTAGCGCAGCCTCAAAAATCGCCTTCCGGATCGTCCGACACATTTGAGAGGTCATAGCCTTATTTTATCGCGGAATGTGCCTTTAACTACGGCGGCGCATTTAATTTTACGCTCAGTTGTGCGATACTGTATACCCCTACCATCATAATCATGTCAGCATAAACGTACATCGTGAAGGACTTTCTTTGCGTCAGCTAGCCTTTTCATCTTAATGAAGGTTAGCGCTACATTTGTCTGATGTTCCACTTCATCCGGGAATCTGAAAAAGTGAGAATTCGCAGGGGATCCTGGCCCTCAAAGTCGTTCTTTCCTTATCCTTTCAGCTACACCTCCCTTCAATGGACAGACGAAAACACTTACCTGGCAACAAGCATCCGGTGTGTTATGAGAGATCTGTAGAAATCGCCTCGAAAGCTGGACAGCTCGATAAGACGGGACGCAGCTTGTCTAGATGAATAATCAGTATGAACGAAAGCAGGTACAAAACAACTTTTTCGTGGCTCGAACTCGGAGCCGAGTGGAATGAAATCTCCTCTAGATTCAAGACCACCGCAATTTGGTGTCTACAGCACGTAGCAGTCGCGCGCGCTGTCGCGTACTTGTTTTCCATAGACTCATTGCAGGTTCGTGACCGCGTTCACTACTAATGTATTTCAATTCTAATTCAGAGTGGTGCAACTATGAATGTAGCAATGAGGCTGTAGACAGCACGTTGCGCTACTTGTTTTTCTTACTGCAGTCTTTGATAAGTGCATTTCATATCCCGACAATGAAGTGGGCGTGTCCATGGAAGTAATAAGCGCGGCAGCGACTAAGTATCTGTGTACAGTTGCCGATTCAGGCAGAGAGGGACGAGCGCTGCATTGAGTTTCCCTGATGACGCCTGCACTATATCAAGCCGACATTGTCTGCTAACCAAAATGCAGGTGTCCAGCGCCGCTGCACCCACCTTTTACTCCTGGACACGCCCTCCGCATATTCTAGATGTGAGCTGTTCTTTACAGAAAACTCACCGAAATAGCGCATCTGGTGTTTCTTCATTGTCGAGAACTTGTTCGTATTCATGGATTGCACGGGCAAAGTCGCGATCATTGCTGGTCAGTTCTCCTCTACAAAGACAGAACAAAATTTATTCCAAGCAAATG